ATAAGACAATTAATGCCAACCGACCAGACATAGTATTTATAAACAAAACAAAAAGAACAGTATATCTCATTGATGTATCCATACCCAATAATAACAACATAGAGCAAAAGTATAGAGAAAAAATCGATAAGTACACACCACTGGCTGAAGAGATTGAAAGAATCTGGAAACAAGAAAAAGTTGTTATCATACCACTTATCATGTCCACAACGGGAATAACACCAAAAACATTTATACCGCTACTGAAAACCCTCAATATACCGGAATACACTCACACTGAAATACAAAAAGCAGTCATACTTAATACATGTACCATAGTAAGGAGATTTCTCAGTGGAAACCATGCACCTAACATACTACAATAGCCAACTATAGATTAAGAATCTTCCAACTTGGCTTAGCCCGTTGGAAAGATGATCCCCGACAAAGTCGAGAAAATGATACAGATGAAAATAATAATAATCGTCTTTATTGAAGAAAAAAAAAAGTATAACATTACATATATTATTACACATCATGCAACAAGGGTGGCGAAATTTAACAAAAAAGTTATTCTCGCGTCTGCTCGCGATGTTCCGACAATTTTATAGTTAATTCTAAGTCAATAGTGTGTGGTTTGTGTAAAAATAAGTTCCATTCGGCTTGCGTTAGTCTAAGAGACGAAATTTGTAAAATTGTGCCCAAAGTAGCTAATATCTATTGGTTTTGTGATAATTGTGAGTTGTGAGACAATTGTAAATAAAAATCTGCCTAAATTAAATGCAGTACCGGATAGTACGCATGTCGATATACGTCTATGCGAAAAAGAAATCGAATGCTTAAAGAGAGAAGATACTAACTGACCGTCTACTTCAAGAAATGGAACAGTCCAATGACCTCCTGAAATCAAAAATGAATCACATCTTAAAAAATGGAATGCAAGATAAGAAGAATTCCGAAGCAGGCCAAGTTTTTTTGCCGACGATTAAACCTAGCAGTTCCTACAGTGCAGCAGCAAAAAAGAATTTAAACACTGATTCATCGGTATTGTTGATAGAAAACCGAGATGGGAATTCCGACAATATTTTAGAAACTATTGTAAATACCATCAATCCTGCGTCACTAAATGTATGTATCAATGGTACAAAAAGAACAAAAAACGGTGCAGCAATTTTCTGTAACAAACAGTCTGATCTTGAAATTTTAAAAGACGCTTTAAATTCAAAATTAGGAAAAAAGGTAAATGTGAACGAATCAAAAAAACTCAATCCTAGAATACTAATTCGTAACGTTAAATTGACAACTGACCTTGCTAGTGACAATTCCATACTTGATAACATATTTTTATTAAACGATTTTCAAAATTTTAGTGTATCGGACTTTAAAATTGTTACAAAGTTAAAAACGATAAATAATTTGTGTAATATTGTATTGGAAGTGCCGTCTTTTATCTATAATAATCTTATTCAGAGAAGTTATATTTATATAGGCTGGCAACGGTGTTTTTTGACTGAACACTTAAACATTACTTAGAAAGATTGGAAAAAACGTTAAGTTACCTTATATATACCCTGCTATTCAAAGAATCGGGTTATACAATCAAAAACCCAATTATAGACACATGAACAACATACGAGAGATTGAAAAATGGAATTAAATATATTGAGAAATGAAAATTGACATATCAGATTTTTTGGCAAGTATCCACAGATAATCATAAAGAGCACAACGGCATTTGGTGTACGTTAATAGCTCTTGCTGCATGTGCAGTTTATTTGATATACCAAAGCTACAAAAATAATACAGATTCAACATTCTCAACGTAATAATCCTATGGAAAATTTAATACCATTAAAACCGCTACGTCTATACAATGATGCATCTATTGATTAGCACAGGACAATTAAAGAAAAAGTCATTCACCGGAATGAGAGGCCATAATATGCGACGAAAGCAATTAAATAGTATAAATGTAACCAAAATTCTATGACGCCATCAATGCCCTGTCAATCACAATGGCCCGTAGAAGGTTAAAACGAAATCAGAAGCAAAGAAAACGATTGGGAAAAGAATAATTATTATAGTTTATATAGCGTGTTAGCCTTATATAAACATAGTCCAACAAATTATAGATATATGTCAAAGGTTTTTTGCCTTCCATCGGAAAAGACTTTGACAAGACTCTTGAGAAAAAATAATGTAAAACGTGGATTGGAATTTTAAAACCGGAACTAAATAGTTCAAAAAAATACTCTGGATAAGACATGTGTACTGATTTTTGATGAAATGAGTATAATGCCAAGTTTAGCTGTAAATCAGTACACCAATTCTATTATAATAACTATTATTTTAATTAAGGATGAAAATAATTTAGGATTTCCAGTGGCATTTTTGCTTTCCAACAGGTTGGATCGGATAATTCAAGAATTTTTTTTAGTGCTCTTTTAACAAAATGAGGTAAACTAATTGAAGCAGAATATATTATGAGCGACGATGACCCGAAATATTATAATGCTTGGACCAAAGTGATAAGTACTAATACAACACCTAGAAGACTCCTTTGTACATGGCACATTATTAAAAATTAGAATATTTAAGGAAAGGAAATGGAAATGCGAAAAATATTGACAGAAACTGATGTAACAGAATTTAAGGATCACAAGGATAAGTTTTTCAATCATTTGGGAGAAGGAGAAGTGAATTTCCTAAAATATTTGCACAAGTATTACATTTTTAATATATTTTCTTTATTCTAATTATATTTTTTTAAAATTATTATTTGAAGAGTGAGGAAAGAATTGTGATGTGGGCTCATTGTCATAGGATCAATGTGGGGATAAATACCAATATAGCAATTAAAAGCCTAAATAAACTTTTGAAGTACAATAAAATAAATGGACAACGTAATCTCATAAAACATTTTGAGTATCGGTATTATTTTATTTTTTAGAGTAGAGAAGTTATTAGATTTGTTAGAAGAAATTGTTGACGACAAGATGTGGGAGAAGATTATAGACAAAGAAAGACCAAATGGCAATAGCTAGAATCACAGAAGAACTGTCGAAGCTCACTAAAAAGCATAGGAAACGACAGGAAAGGTTGAACTACCTGAAGTTAGATTTAGAGTTCAGTCTTGTTCTGTAGAAGGTAAGTATTACCTTGTTTCATACAATGAACTATGTAATGGTGATTCTAGAACTGGGTATTGTAATGCGTGTAAGATATGTTTACATGCAGTATTGGCGATAATGGTTGGAACTTTTATATTTGTTAATTTTTTCTACAAATTCAATATTCCTTATTTGAATATACAAATCAAATAATAAATCTGATGAAACATAAACAAAATAAGATGTTAGTATTCAAGTCTTATCTTTGTATAGGATATTATCAGTAAAATTTTTTTGGGGCTGGACAAAATCCTTGGAACTATATTCAAATTGTCAAAAGGTATTCTAGATAATTATAGTTTCTGACTAGCCAAGGTCTGTGTTACACAGTTTTGCAATTTGAACTATTATTATCAGTATGGCAAAAGGAAAAGCGTATTCTAGTGATATTCGTCAGCGAATTCTAGATTTCTACAACCAAGGTATCAAACAGAGTGAAATTTTTGAAAGACTTATATATATATAAAGTTCCAAAAAACATGGTGTCACATATTATTAAAAAATATAAAGTGTATGGTCACGTAACTCCGGGAAAAAGCATTGGAAGATCTAGAGCTACAAATGCCCGCATGGATAAAAGGATTTCAACTGTGTCGCATAATGATCCTTTTTGATCTTCTGGGAAAATTTTGCAAAAAATAAGAGAAACTGAAACTTGCAATATTTCGGCAAGAACGATAACGAGACGATTAGTGGGTAGTGGACTCAAAATCTACAGACCCGCCAAAAAACCACTACTAAGAAAAAAAACATCAAGTTACGGTTACAATTTGCCGTAGACCACATCCATTGGACCGTGCAAGATTTGAAAAAGGTGTTATTCAGTGACGAGTTCAAATATAATCTGTATTCTAGTGATGGTATCGTACATGTTAGGCTACCAAAGGAAAAAAGACTAGAAAGAAAATACGTTAGACCGACAGTGAAGCATGGAAGTGGTAACGTAATGGTGTGCGGCTGCTTTTCTTGGTATGGCGTGGGGCCTCTTCATCGAGTGGTAGGATAAATGGACAGGTTCATGTACAGAGACATTCTTCGTGACGTAATGGAGCCATACTCGTTTGAAAGTATGCCCGTAAATTACATTTTTCAACATGATATCGATCCGAAGCACGCTTCAAAGCTTGTAAAGAAATGGTTTGACACGGAAAAGATAGCAGTATTAAAGTGGCCAGCACAAAGTCCCGATTTAAATCCGATTGAAAATTTATTTATATACCAAACCAAACCAAACATTTAGACCGCAAAGTTCATGAATTGGGACCCATTAAAAATGCCAATGAGATGTTTGAAAAACTTACTGAAGCCTGGAATGCCATTGACAGACGAACAATTGAAAATCTAAAACAATCAATGACAAGAAGAATGCAAGCCGTCCTTAATGCAAAAGGTTGTCATACTAAATATTAATTTATTAAATTATGTTAAGAAAATTTATTTTGTTTTTCGTTTTTAATAAATGATATATGCTTTTGTTCCAACTATTTTGTCCAGCCTATTTGTGTTTGTGACTTTGTTTTCAGCTGTTTACAGGTAAATATTTTTTTAAAATGGATCACAAAATTAATTTATTGCAAGTTGTTGCCTTTAAAAACTTTTCAAATCCTCGTGTTTTTTTAAATACAGAATCAACTTCTATTGACACAAAATTGGATATTACTACAGACATCGACATAAATAACGAACTAAATAAATTTATAAACGAATTTGACAACAGTGAGGACGTGATAACAGACAATTTTTTAACACACACACAAATGATCGTTGATAATACCGATAAAAAACATAGATGATAGTGTATCTTCCAGTTCAAAAGATAATTTAAAAAATCATTTAGTAACCCTATCTTCATACGTAACGACAAGGTGAAGCCTCCATTGACACCTCCATATAGCGGCCCGTACAGAGTTGTGGAACGAGATGACAAGTTCCTAACAGTGGACGTCCAGAATGTTCCCCAACGAGTCTCCATGGATCGACTGAAGGCAGCATATGTTCCAGCATCTCATCAACTGGCGGAGGAACATTCATACACCAACCGTTTGCTGCTCAACGTATGCCAGCAGAACCGTTCACAACCAGTGGGTTCCTCACTGGGGGGGAGCCCTGTGGCAGACTTCCGAAGGTAGCAAGTGCCCGCCACAAATTGGTTGGCTCCACGGGAGGAGAGTAGCAACTAGTGTTGGGCGATTATGAATGATGTAATCGAGATATTTCGATTATGGCTGAATAATCGATCATTCGATTATCGCAGGCGAGAGAATCGATTCCAAACGAGATTTTTGTAGTTTTAGCCATAGAAAGACTTTTACACATAAGATATTAGTGAAATCCATTTTTTTATTCAAAGGTATCATAGGAAAGGAAATCATATTTACTGACCTATAGAATAAGTATAATACACAACCACTAGATACTAGATTCTCACAAATAATTTATTCTATGGCTACGAAATTGGATTATTTGACGAAATCTTATGCAACCAACAATGCACTAGAATATTAAGGGCCTTAAGGGCAGTATGCCTTCTTGCGAAAGCCTGTACTCACAGAATAACCAATAACTACCTGTACTAAATAATATAATAATAATATTAATTATTAGTTATTAGTTCTTATGTTCTTATTAAATAACGTTGTGGTGTGGTAGCCAAGAGTGTCAAATATGAGTACAAGAGGGAAACGATCTATTGTGTGGACATTTTTTATTCTTACACAAAGCAAAAAAATTGTTCAATGTACATTGTGCAAAAAAGAATACAAATATTTTAAAAATACAACGAACCTTAAAGAGCACTTAAAACGAATGCATCCTAGTTGCTTACTGGTGCCTGCTTCAATTCAGGAAGACGATGAGGATGAGGATGAATTGTTAACTCCATCAGGTTCCAGAGAAATGGATACTCCACAAACCCCTAATTTGTCAACAGCCTCTAGTTTTGAAAGTACAAAAAAACCATCGCAATTAAGACACACAAAACAGTTATGTCTTGCTGGATCATCGAGATCTAACACTTTAAGTCAATCACAAATAAAAAATTTTAATCTTGCCCTTATTAAAATGATCGTTTTTGATTATCAACCGTTGCAAATTGTTGAAGACAGAGGTTTTCGAGAATTTACTAAAAAGTTAAATCCATTATATACACTTCCATCTCGCAAAATGTTAACTTCAAAATTAATTCCAGAGCTGTATCAAACTGAAATTCATAAATTGAAAAGTAAGTTGTCAGCTGTAGATCATGTTGGTGTTACAACAGACCTTTGGACATCTGATACTATAAATCACTACATTACTATTACTATTCATTTTATAGAAAATGCAGAGTTACACACCAGCGCCCTCCAGACCAGTGAAGTACAGGGAAGCCAAACTGGATCACATATAGCTTCCGAGTTAATGGAGATTTTCAATAAATGGGAAATTAGTAGGAAGGTTGTAACTGTAGTCTCAGACAATGGTGCAAATATAAAATCTGCTATAAATGATCATTTACATATGCATCATCATCCGTGTGTGGCGCATACTCTAAACTTAACAGTGAAAGACGGGTTAATCCAAAATAATGAATTGAATGTTATATTGCAAAAGTGCAGGAATATTGTGGGACATTTTAAACATAGTGCAATTGCTGTAGAAAAACTGTCAACGATGCAGCAACAAATGAACAGTCCTCAGTTAAAAGTGAAGCAAGATGTAGTAACGCGCTGGAACTCTACATATATAATGCTGGATAGATTAATTGCCATTAAGGCTTCAATTACTGCTGTGATGTCTAGTCTACCAAAGGCTCCTGAGATGCTCAATGCAGAGGAATGGCTTATTTTAGAGGACTGCATTTGTGTACTAAAACCGTTCGATTTGATGACAACAACCTTGTCTGGAGAAAAATATGTCACCCTATCATCAATAATACCGCTTGTACGAGGACTGCAATATTCTCTTAATAGAATGAACTGCCTGACAGATATTGGTAACAAGCTGAAAGTTGATTTACTTGCAATTATTTCAAGACGGCTCGGCAGTTATGAACGTGATAAAATATCAGCAAAAGCTACTTTTTTAGACCCCCGTTATAAAAAACAAGCTTTTGGATCACAAGATAATGCTAACAATGCTGAAAAATGGATAATAGAAGAACTCGGAAGCCTTATTGCTGAAACTTCACTTGAAGCTCCGACTACAGTATCCCAATCTGAGGTTGATCATGCAGATTCTGATAACACGTTGTGGGAATATTTGGACAAAAAGATCACTGACTCTACCAATGTAAGAAATACTTCGCCGACAGCAAAAGCCATACTAATGGTCAAACAGTATTTGTCAATGGCAAATACACCACGCTCTTCGAGTCCACTTGCTTTCTGGTCAGCAAACGAAAATCTGTTTCCTGCATTATTCAAAATGCATAAAAAATATCTCTGCGCTCCGGCTACATCAGTGCCGTCAGAAAGAATATTTTCAAAAAGTGGCATAATTACAAATTCCAGGCGAAATAGACTTTCAGCTAAAAATTTAAACCAAATAATTTTTTTGAACACAAATTTGTAGTAATTGGTAGTTAATAAATTACTACTATTACAATTAGTTTGTTTTTATTTAATATTTTATTCTTGCACAACATAAATAAATATAATTCAAATTATCCAAAAAAAATCCTTTATGGGTATTTCGCCACTGCACTGCAAGAAAAATCTAATAAAATAGTTATTTTTTGTAAACACTTCTGCGTTAAACCTAAACGGACGCTGCTTGTCAGAAGTTGTGTTTACAGCATAGAGAAATATAAAATAAAAGAGTTGTCATTTCCATAGTCAAAAGTAGGCAACACGTTTAACGAGGATCGATTGTAGCGCACCCTTGAGCCCTAACTGAACTAAACGAAATATGACAGACCTTATCGGTAAAATAGGTATCTGCATTGCCTACCACAAAAAAGGCGGGCTGTTTAAATGTGAATATAAAATTTTGTGTATTTTTAAAAATATTACGAAATTAAAACTGCAAAAATATAAAGAAAGTTTATTTTTAAAAACGGAATATTTGAAAAGTATAAACTATTGTACACTTTTCAAATGCTTACAGTTAAATGCTAAATTAAATTTGATAATATAAAACATATATGCTGAATTAACTTCGAGGGGTAAACTCCTGATGAATTTCTGTACACTAATGCCAAATAATTTAGTACTAATACCAATAATGCCACGAAAATGCCAACATCTTGTACACCACCAAAATACACCAGCGGTTTACCCTTCGATTTACCTATAGTATTATAAAACGTATTTAACAACGCCACTAACAAAGCATATAAGATCGCAGGGTTTGCAATCTATGCTATTATAACAGATAAAGATTTAAATAAGACATCATCAAAAATTAATTCACCTTTAAGTGGGATTTATAAACTCAGCAGTCAGCAGTTGAAGTTCAGTTGAGGTAGCAAATGTTCAACACTATTAAATGAAGGCCTAAATTTATAGTCAGTTCGTTTTACGTTCACAGAGTTCAGAGATGGGCAATGTCTTTACATATCGAACTTGCTTTGCATGATACCCTTTCCTGGATCGTGTTCAAATCACATCATCGGCTGAACAAAATATTACAAGATGATGGCAAAACACAGCACAAAATATAAAGTTCAAATCATAGAGAAATATAAGGTCTCTGGTTCCTCGGGAAATAAAACTTCGTCCATAATTTCTGTACGCACAAACACAACACAAACAAACAGAGTTTATGCTACACAAAATAATAACAAAATTCCAAAATTCAAAACAAAATTGTAAAAAATTGCAAAATACAAATAATTTGCTGTCATGTCACTTGTCATTCTTGTAATGACACGTGACAGGTAGCAGGTGGCGACGCTTTGGAGCCCTAACTGAACTATGCAACATTATGGCCAAGTTAGACAACCTTTCAAACACTCTTTTATTTTAATTACTTTATGGTTTACAGTAATAAAAATTTGCCTAACAAAGAAAAAAATGCTTAAAAAAATAATTCAAATTATTTACCAGATTCGTCTTGCATTTCCAAAACTATTTAATACATTATATCAAATAAAAATAATAATATAACAATTAATTAAAAATTTAAACAAAATAATCTTTATTTCGTTGTTTCGGTAAAACATAACTTTAAAATAATCTTTTCTAGCTAATTATACATTATACCCTTGTATATATATATATATATATATATATATATATATATATATATATATATATATATATATATTTTATGTTAGGTTAGGTTTATTTCTACCGTGATCAGAGATATGGAAGTGGGAGAATGAGCTTCGACGAGTGCGCATCCAAATTTTTGTCGACGGCAAGATGGCAGACATCTTCCAGGTCTCGCTGTCACTTCCCCTCTTTAATTGACATCTGTTTGTTTTGTTTTTTTTTCGTTTGTATTGTTATCTAGTTAAAATTTATTATTATCTCAATTATTCTAAACACTAATTCAAAAAGGCTTGTTGTATATTGTCATAGTCATTCTAAGAAAGCTAATACGCCGGGAAAAATGATTAGTTTTCATGTAAGTTTATACAACATAATCGTGTTTACAGATGATCCAAAACTGTTTATTTTTAGTTTTCCTAAAGGCGATTTGTAAAAATCGTGATTGTAATTGGGAATGGTCAAAAATAAGTGTATGATGTGGCCATTTAAAGAGGATGTTTTTATTATGTGTGGAGGAAGAAGATACTTGGAATCAATGTTCGTGCTTCTGTAAAACAGCACACTCTTATAGTGTCCATGAAAGCACAAGTTCAAGTGTACCAGAAATATACCTTACTTGACAAGGAGATTATTTGGAGGAAAAGAAAACATAATATAGGGTATTTTAATCGAACAGCGAAAATTTAACATTTTTATTGTAAAGTTTGTTGTAGGTAGTTGTAGTTTTGTGCTAAATATTTCTAACATTAGCAGCAGCAGTGTTCAGAGTGTCAAGAGGAGGAGAATTCAGTCAATTAGATTTATGCACAGTTACAGGTATGAAGGCTTTTTCAAACATAGTATCAAGTTCTATAGTCAACATTTTTAGTATTCCTACAACTGTAAAAACAAGGAACATTGGACTGAAAAAATGGCAAGATTTATATAGGAAGAAAGGGTATAATGCCAATAAGAAAATTAAATCTATAGGCAGAAGTTTCTTCTTTAAAAACTGTTATGGGGCATATATTAATTTGTATCTGTGCCACAAATCACTGAAAAAAATCATATAATATTCATAATTGTTAACGAGATGATATTTAAAAAGTGTTAAAAATGAGACTATTAGTCATGAAGCTTACAATGTTACTTTGTTTCAATATTACACTTTTATTCTTGTAAAATCTATGATGAAGTTCAAAAGCATTTTGCTATGGCCTTAAATTGTGAGCCAGGATTTATAGCAAAGGTATTTGATGCAATGAAACTTAATCGGTACCTTCCAGTATGTATTTTAGTAAGGGGATTGTCAATCCCATGTTTTAAATAGATAAAATACAGGCCAAAGCTGACAATATTACAGTTGAGAAGAAACTATTTTATCTTAAAAAAATTTTCTTAAAATTCTGAGATCATATAATCTAATTTTCTTAATAATAAATTAGGTATATGTATGTTGTACATACAGAATTTTGTTATGGACAAATAAGGATCGACAAGCTTTTTGTACAAAAAATAAATGATTTTTTCTAGTATTACGACAAACCATAATGTGTTTTACAAACTTACCGGTAACAGTTTTTTTTTATAATAAAATATTTAGGAATAATTTGGGTTGTTTATCAATATATTAATGACTTGAATTTTGACAAATTGAATTTGTATCAAAATAATTTTACGTAATATAAAATTGATGTTCTATTACAAGATTGAGTTTTTATTGTCGACAAAAACCAGGATAAATACTAATAATAATACACTTAATAAAATCAATGATGTTTATGTATTATGAAAATATTTGTTAGAGGACATGTTATGTAACACAATTTGAAGGGACGAATAAAAAAAATAAAACAAAAACTAAGGTTTATATTAAAAATAACTTTTCTAGGTTTATATTAAAAATACAAGGTAGGTAATCATCAAAAATAATTATGAACCAAATGTTTTTTATGAATATACAACTTGAACAAAAAGTTGTTTAGAACAATTTTTACCAAATGTGCAAAAATTTTAAATTGAAACACGTAATTCAGTACAAGTAAACATGAAATATTGTAAATACTTATTTAATATCATTTCGAGTGTTTAACGACGAAAAGGTCATCTGTCCGTAGCGTCTTTTGTCAGAATATTCGTATATTTAGTGTATTATATACCAATATTGTACGCAGTTTTGAAACTGATAATTAAATAAATCATTAATGTTACTAACCATAATAAATGATAGAATTTCACTAAATTTAAATTGCCCCCCGTATGGTTGAAAACAGCAAATTGATATTTGTTTACTTATAGATTACCACCTATATACAAAATGACACGAAGACCTGGAATATGGCGCCCAACTTGATTAGACCTTCTGCGCATGTTGACGCTTGACGCTCATTCTCTATCCCTTCTATTTCTCTGACCGTGATCTACAAATAGTCAAAGTCTAATTTTTACATCCCTGATCCATAATCGTTTATATGAATGATCATTCGATTATTATATCCGATTTTTTCGATTCTATCGATTATTAAAATGAATCGATTATGCCCAACACTAGTAGCAACCTTGAATCGCCACCCAGCTGATATCTGTCAATCGGGGAAGAAGAAGGATTATTCTGTGGATAGACATTCGACCTTCAACATTCACGTTTCGCGCCAAAAAAACCGAATTCTAATGTTTTGTAATAGTTATTTAGTTGTAACAATTGATCGAGTTAATTAAATGACTTAATTATTTAGTGTGCCTAATTTGCTACTCGCAACGGCCACATACTTATCAATTTGCATAGCCTAACTTTTTTATCAATAAACTTTGTAGATTTTCAGATTATTTAATTCCTTTTGTTTCCGTTTGTAATTTTATTTTTAAGACATATTATGTGATTGTTTCACATAATATGTTTTAAAAATAAAATTGCAAATAGCGAATAAAAATAATTAAAATAAAGAAGTGTATTTTACAATTCCCCCCGGCCCCGCACCCCTTTCGCTAACCTATAATGTCAGCTATGTCGAGAGATGGTGTTACGAAAATGGAACCGATTTATTACAAGGAACTTGGGCTTCTTTTTCGTTAGTATATTCTGTGCAGCCGAAGAGCATCAAAACAGAATTTAACCTTGAGATTCATTGATGATAGTAAAGTAAAAGCCAGAGATATAGAAGTAGGTGGTTAGAGGCAAAGATAAAATATTTTTTAATAATAAACTAATAAATTATTATAAATAACAAACACTATAAAAAATTTGTTTATTAAATATTCACTAATTAAAAGTTAGATATAATTAAAAGATATTATACGTATTGTATATCGTATAGTGGATTGATAATTGATAAACTAAAATGTTAATGGATCTATTATATAAGATGTCTTGTTATTTAGATAGTATTAATTACAAAAGAAAAATAGATGCATGTGAACAACTATTTTTTATATTAAATAT